CCCCAAAACCCCAAAACCCCAAAACCCCAGAGTATTATTTTATATAAGAATGAAAATATTAATTCTTGAAATATCTTGCATTTAGAATATAATTTTATAAAATGTCTATAATAATTATAGCCTTTTTAGGTTTGACATCATTATCAAGCGTTTAAGGGTTTTATAATCCAGTTATTAATGAAAATGTCCCAGATCCAGGGGCAATTTTGTATGACAATGAATATTACGTTGTGACTACATCAGGTCCATTAGATGGTAAATTCCCAATTCACAAGTCAAGTGATCTCTAAAACTGGGATTTTATGGGCTATGCTCTTCCAAGAGATCACTCCCCACAATGGGCGTAATCTCCAGATACCGATTTCTGGGCCCCTGAGCTTCATGTTATCAATGGAATGTTTAGATTGTATTTCACAGCAAGACATAGCTCTGGAGTTTTATGTATAGGAGTAGCTACTGCAGACAATATCTTAGGCCCCTATACTGACATTGGCAGTCCATTATTTTAAAATCCTAATATGGGATCGATTGATGCTACAGTGTTTAAGGATGAATTTCAAGACTACTGGTTGGTTTGGAAAGATGATGGAAATGGAAAGAATCCACAGCAGCCTACAATCATTAGATCTAAAAGACTTAGCTATAGCGGACTCTCGTTCGAAGATAGTGCCATGTACGAGTTAATTAAAAATGATCAACCCTGGGAAGGAGATGTCACTGAAGGACCATGGATGATCAGGAAAGATGGTTTTTACTATCTTTTCTATTCAGGTCATGGATATTGTGATTAAAGCTACTCAGTTGGTGTTGCTAGAAGCAGATCACCTTGGGGTCCTTTCAAAAAGAAGGGCTCTCCAATTCTGTTCTCTTCAGGCAATTGGTAAGGCCCTGGACACTGCAGTGTCATAAAAACATCTTCAGATGATTGGGTAATAATTTATCATTCCTGGATGAATAATCAAGTATGCGGTAACAATAAAAGAGTGATGCTAGCTGACTTTATTGATTGGGATTGGAATCAATGGCCTCAACTCAGAAATATGGGTGCATTAATGTCACCAAAAGAAGGATCTTCAGCTAACTCACTGGAATTGCTCTTTCTTCAGCAATGAAGTAATCATCCTAAACTCAAATTTACTCTATTATCTATTTCAATCGATGATTAAACCTATTTATAAAAATAGTTGAAGCAGATGGGGTTTTGGGGTTTTGGGGTTTTGGGGTTTTGGGG